CTTCAACCTTTTTACTACGTTTGGATATCATCTTAGGAGATTCCTTTTCATAGTGCGTTGCATATGGATATTTGTTTGTTTGTTTAATAATAATAATAGTTACAGTTCGCTGAAATCCATCCAGAAGTGCCAACACCAGTTATAGCCTTCTCCCTCACCCTAATATTTAATACCTCTTTGTGCACTGCTGTGTTCCCGACACAATTCAAGTCGGCTAATCTCACGCTGATATTGAAATCCCGTATGGGCGATCCTACTTCTCCTTCGAACTATCGTCCTGTGTCACTCACGTCGATTCTGGCTAAGACTCTGGAGCGCCTGGTTCAAAATCAGGTATGTGACAGTTTTGCCATCAAAAATCACCTCCACGATCACCAATTTGGGTTCCGACCAGCTCGTTCCACGACACACCTCCTCACACTTGCTGTAAATGATTGGAAACTGGCCCAGGACCGCGGAGAGACTACCAGTGTAGCCTTTGGCGACCTCACCATCCAGCATCAACGGTTACTCGTTGTGCTCCATGGCATGGGTGTTCATGCAAGCGCCCTGCGTTCGTTTGCGTCGTACCTTTCCGGGAGATCTCAGCGTGTCATCACGCAAGCCAGTCAGTCTTCAAGTCTTGCAGTGTCTCGAGGGGTTCCTCAGGGAAGTATTTTAGGCCCTACCCTTTTTAAAGTCTACCTGAGGGGCCTTCCTCGGCTTGCGGAGACAGCGGGTTCAAAATTACTGATGTTCGCAGATGGCAAGACAGTCTACTCTAGTGATCTGTCGAAGGCGCGTTCCGAAGCCAAGTTGTCATCGGCACTGGAGATACTAAACAACCACCTTGGCTCCCTTGGCATGCAGATTAATACCGACAAAACCGTTGTCATGCAAATCCATCCCAAACGTGCCACAGGAAGTCAGCAACAACAACAAAGGCATCAACTGCGAATCACCTTGTCAAATGTTATGCTAGAGGAAGTGGAAAGCACCAGATGCCTAGGAGTCGTTGTTGACAACAAGCTGTCCTTTGCCCAACACATTAACAATGTCGTCCGGAAAGCCTCACGGAAGATCGGTGTACTGCGCCGATCTTTCCGCCAGATGAACCTGTTTGCCCGCCATACTTTCGTTGTCGGTGTTATTCAGCCTGATCTACAATATGCTCTCCCTGTATACCTTTTCGTATATCCGTTAAAAATAGAAACAAGCTAGCCTCACCCCACCGCTGTACGAGTTTCTTGTGGCGCATCACCCCAAGCTAATATCACGACACTTCTTCACTACCTCAATGTTTCCTCTTTCCAATATCGATCAGTATTTTTTGTATATCTATATAAATAAATAAAAAAGGCAGGTTAGAATTGTTATAGCGTATAGCAGTAGAGAACAACTACGCGAGCACATTTTTCCACGAGCATCAGCCCATTTTTCGTTGTCCGACATCTAAATATGAAGTGTTGAAAGTCTGACTCTGGTTTCCCCAACGGCATCTCGCCGATCCAGGGGATGTCCATAATCGCACCTGTGTAATTTATTTCTACTGGATACAACAGAACCACCAGGCCAGGTTCTGTACAGCCTGGGCAGTGGCATACTGCATAGTGGGTGGAAGTGAGATTACCGAGAAGAGATGAGCACGGAAGGGTAAGACGGGAAATGCATTGGGCCATGGCATAGAATATTTTTACCAGACTGGTGAAGTTATCACAGAAAACAAACCCTATCACTAAGACGGGATCACAAGGTCTATAGGCTAGATTACCAGTACATGTACAGTCTACGGTATTATGGCACAACATGCTCGAGAAGATCTAAGCAACTGTCCACCAATGCAACTAGATAATCTAAAGCCAGTAGTCTTCAATACAGTATACAATGAGGTAAATAGACCTCGTGCTACTGGTGCGTTCAACACCAGTTCTATTTTCCCACCGTTTCATGACGCGAAACTGCCCAGTAAAGGTTTTTTAGATGATCGATTTACCATACGCGTTATTACCTAGGCACGCAAAGTTGCATACCAATGCTAGGCACATGTACCTTGGTTGGTAGATGTTGGAATACCGAAGGCTGCCCACAAAGCGCGAACCACACTGTCCTGAAAACCCAGCGCGTCCTCTGCTTCAAAACCTTCTAATGTGCTGCCGACACTTGCAACGGATCAGCAACAGTGATCTAGGTGGTGTGATCGTCCTCTTCCCTACTCCTCATAGTCTTCTTCACGCGCGGGAAATTCTTTGCGATGCGCGAGCATGGCGCCGTTCACGCGCGACAACTTGGGCCGATGCATGTACGTAGCTTTCGCTCAAGCCAACCCTTTCACGGAGATGGGCCTTGCGATGATGTGTTTCAGGTGCGCGAAATGATGACATTCGCTAGCGCTTTTTCACCCGTGTATATGTGCGAATTCAAATATAGAAACACAGTCATACAGAGTGATAACTCAAGACACTCGGAGTAGCGACAGGATATGTTTTCTTGGTGAGGACCTCTTCCATTGTTGACTAGCTCCAGTGCACCCCAGCACTGTTGAGCCCTCTTTGCGGTGGACGGAACCACTTCCTCCTCACTTGAAATACATACGGATATATATGACCAAATCGGGACTATTCCAAAGTTTTCTTGCTCCTAGTTGGAAGCCATCACAATTTTTTTTCAAAGATCCCGGGGGGCCGTTGCTCCGATTCCGATTGCACAGTCAGGGACCATTCCCAAAACGGGTACAAAATTGGCTCGGGGAAACTACCGCTCTTCAACCTTTTTACTACTGGAAGCGGCTCGTCCTGGTGTGGCGCTGTGTCAATGGGAAAGCCAGCAGTGTCCTCCAGGACCTATTCTCTTTTGTATTATTGTATTGTATCGTATTGTATGGAATATAATATTTCCTCATTGGCTCAACAGGTCAATGTATTACTACAAAAAGGCCACAAAATCCGATTACTGTAATCAACTAATTTTCGCTGGCGATGTAATTTCGCTGATTTCGCCGCTTGGTACCAACAGGCCAAAGTTTGTCATAGAGGCGAATGATGCATGATTGAGCAATGGATGCATGTGAGAGCAAAAAATACCGATCGATTTCTTTTTGAGAACTCCAATCGGCCAAAGTTTAATGACGGCGAAAAGTTTCGTTTCGAGATCGGCCAAAGTTTCTCATCGGCCAAAATTGGTTGATTTACAGTGTAAGGAGATAAAAAGAAAAGAAGGAGCAAACCAAAAGTGGATGAAATTAGAGAAAAATAACAATCCGCAATAAATTCTGCAAATACTTTTGCCTAACTCATATTCAAACTGATTGAAACGTTTTTGCAATACAATGATTTCGCCAATCAACGGAAAAACCCATTTCCATCAGTTCTAATAATATGTACGATGAGCTAGGCAAAAAAGCATAAAAGAATAGCGTAGGGCCCTGAGCTTCCAAGCTCTCTCGTTGCGATTCTAAAAAAGAATGTCATCAACCATCACACCATACCTGCGCTCTCCAGCCGACATCGACACGTCGCCACAGCACATGACAAGTAAAGGAACACATCCAGTCGTACTGAATTCAACAGAGCTGTTTCGATTATAAACCTCGTGTGTGTGTGTGTGCGTGTGTGTATGTGTTTGTGCATGCGTGTGTGTGTGTGGGGGGGGGTGTTTTGGGGATTTCCAATCAAGTGGTTGCGGTGTTCGATTCCCGACATCTATGGTACCCATGTCTTTCTGAGTCTCTTTCTCAGACTCCTCCAGCCTATTTAATAATTATATCATTCTCCTGGGTGGTTGCCAACAACCAGTGCATCCCGGAGTATGTGGTGTGATGGGGGCGCGAAAAAAATGAAAACCCCCAAAAATTAGGGATTCACTTGCCAGAAAAAGCCACTTCATAGCTGTGTGGTGTAGACCAGGCTAAATGATGGCGGTCAATTCTTCAGCCTTGCAAGCTGTTGAATGGTGCAATCTCAGCACTAGTTGCTATGGCTTCTGATGTAGCATCGCTATGATCGCCTCTGCGATGGTCGTCAAACGGTGTGTGTGTGTGTGTGTGTGCGTGCGTGTGTGTGTGTGTGTTTGTGTGTGGGGGTGCGTGCGTGCGTGCATGCGTGCGTGTGTGTGTGTGTGTGTGTGTGTGTGGGTGTGTGGGTGTGTGGGTGGGTGTGGGTGTGGGCCTGTGTTCCGGCATGCTGTTCTCCTGCGGGAGCCGTCTCCAGAAGTGATCTCACCTGTAATCATAGGCTTCTTACATGACACGTGATCGTTGCCGGGGCCAATAGGCGATCTTTCCGCCGCGGGCATAATCAGGCCATCAGGACCATTTGACGTCATTTCGGGAGTTTCAGGACCGTTTGACGTCATTTCGGGAATGTTCGGACCGTTTGACGTCATTTCGAGAATAATTTTTCGACCTTCGACCTTTCCACCTTTGACCTTCCCTAATATGTTGCTTCGCGCTGTAAGAAATGAATCAAGCACGCTCTGTCTGTCATGATGGCTGAATCTTGCCCTTGCCTTCAGCCCTCGGGCCTACGGCCCTTGGGCTGTAGGCTCGGGCAAGATTCAGCCATCATGACCTCCTGAGCGTGCTTGATTTTTTACGTTTTACATGGCTCGCAACGCTGCTGCAGACAAGGCGCAGCTTCATGTTCGAAAACGGAACGGAATACAGTGATAGCACCTTGGTTCAGCACGATATTAGTACAAGTGCTGGTACAAGTCATAATTACTGCTTAGCTGTCAAAACGCGAAGCTGGATCACAGCTTCACTTGTCGCTAGATTATTCCTGCGTGTAAGTGCCCCTGGGCGTATGTATGCACGGTCTACACGACGTTGCTGATCTATGGTCAATTGTGTGCAGTCACCGAATTTTGAACGGCCTCACACCGCATACTTAGCATTCTTTTACAACACACACACAAGCACACACACAAACATACACACACCTACTAACCATAGTACTTTCCTTGTGCGATATAGTTAACTGTTTACTTTGTTGAGCTTAGTCGCCTGATGATCGCGTGAGAAGAGAGAAACTCTGAGTGGAGGCGAACAGATGTTTTAAAACTGAACGTTGCGCCTGGTTTTCTGGCCATTCGTCGTTCTATAGCTTCTGAAAGTGTTGGAAACAATTGTCCGGGGATCCCAGTAACTCATAGGTCGTGTCAAACCTATGCTATTTAGCTATTCCCTCTACAGCAGACAATCGACCTCTGTAGTCTGGTGAGTATTAAAGTATTCACACGTTTTGTGGGAGTCGGAGCGGGAACACTGTGCAGATAACATTGACTGCCTCCGCCAGGACTCAAACCAGGGACTCTCTCTCTCTTTTTGGCCAGCGATGCGTCACCTCTAGGCTATGGTGTGGCCGACTGGCCGCGTCAAACAAGCAGAAAGAGTTCAACATTAACTTAGGAATTTGAAGTCTGGTACGTTTTTATGCAATTCCTTATACCGTCATAATTATGAATTTATGGCCTCTTGGTGCGGTCTCCTATAGCAGGACAGGTCAGACCACCTTTCTAGCTGACTGTCGCCAATGCTGTTTTCGTGAATATCTTCAAATAAAGTTAATCTAGGCTTCCATTCCTGGTACCGCTAGTGGTAGAAAGTACAAGTCTCTCTGCAGTCGAGACTGATACTGAGCCACAGGTCCCCTCTGAATCCTCCCTGAACACCCTCTCCGCTTGCACCCAGACTCCCCCGTTTTACTCTGGTACAGTCAACTTCGCTTATAACGACACTCGGTGGGGCATCAGAAAAGTGTCCTTATTAGCGAAGTGTCGTTATACCCGAAGTCTCATTGTATGTGCTACAGTTGGATGGGACTTTGCTCTGGGCATGGAAATTCTGTCGTTATTTCCGAATTGTCGTTATAATAATTATAATTACGTTATATCCGCAGTCGTTATTAGCGAAGTTGACTGTACATGTAGCATGATTCCATGTTTCACCTTCTATACAATGTACACTCAACTTCGCTAATAACAAATGCAGATATAACAACAAGGACAGAATTTCCAAGCCCAGAGCAAAGTCCCATCGAATAATAATATTATAATGAGACTTCGGGCATAAGGACACTTCGCGAATAACGACACTTTTCTCATGCCCCGCCGTGTGTCGCTATACCCAAAGATTACTGTACATTCCCCCTTCCCGACCCCTGTGTCTACTCCTCCCCATGTTCTGGTGCACTGAAGTGTCGCTGAAGCCGAAACCTCAGGTTGACGGAGATGCTTCAGTTTCAGCACCACAGTTGCGACTGCAGCCACCCCTATCATGCAGTATTCTGTTCTCGACGTTCGTGGTTTCTCAAAACAAAGTGTGGACCGTGAACGGTGCCACATCGTGGGTGCATGTTGTATAAAGACAAAACTACAGAGACCAAGACAAATCCGTTGACGAAGAATCAAGATAACATTACTGTTCTTCTAAGTTGTATGCTCAAGAACACCCATCACTTTGTGCTTATGTGTGTTACGCTCCACCTGACATACATGTAGCTCTGCTTACGTGTGTGTGTGGTTGCGTTCGTGTTCATGTATGTGGGTGCGGGCCTGTGTTCCCGCATGCTGTTCGCCTGCGGGAGTCGTCTCCAGAAGTGATCTCACCTGTAAGCATAGGCGTTTTACATGGCTCGCAACGCTGCTGCAGACAAGGCGCAGCTTCATGTTCGAAAACGGAACGGAATACAGTGACAGCACCTTGGTGCAGCATTCAGGTGGACCGAATCCGGAATGATGGACATTGGTGATGGTACTGCGTTGTCGCACCCGTAAGCCATGCACTGTATTACAGGACGATATTAGTACTAGTGCTGGTACAAGTCATAATTTTTATAATTGCTTAGCTGTCAAAACGCGAAGCTGGATCACAGCTTCACTTGTCGCTAGATTATTCCTGCGTGTAAGTGCCCCTGGGCGTATGTATGCACGGTCTACACGACGTTGCTGATCTATGGTCAATTGTGTGCAGTCACCGAATTTTGAACGGCCTCACACCTCATACTTAGCATTCTTTTACAACACGCACACACACACACACACACACACACACACACACACACACACACACACACACGCCGCCTGCTAACCATAGTTCTTTCCTTGTGCGATATAGTTAACTGTTTACTTTGTTGAGCTTAGTCGCCTGATGATCGCGTGAGAAGAGAGAAATTCTGAGTGGAGGCGAACAGATGTTTTAAAGCTGAACATTGCGCCTGGTTTTCTGGCCATTCGTCGTTCTATAGCCTTTGAAAGTGTTGAAAATAATTGTCCGTGGATCCCAGTAACCCATACGTCGTGTGACTCGTGTCAAACCTATGCTATGTAGCTATTCCCTCTACAGCAGATAGTCAATCTCTGTAGTCTGGTGAGTATTAAAGTATTCACACATTTTGTGGGATTCGAGCGGGAACACTGCGCAGATAACATTGACTGCCTCCGCCAGGACTCAAACCAGGGACTCTCTCTCTCTCTCTCTCTCTCTCTCTCTCTCTCTCTCTCTCTCTCTCTCTCTTTTTTTTTTTT